ATTGTAACCATGTGTATCCAGCTGAACTGATGCATTGTTATTCCTGGTAACACAAACGTCTTAACTAATGAGAACATAACAGTATTAACAGCGGAGATAAGAAAACACAACGTGAAAAGGGATCCAAGAAGACAATTACAAATACTAGACGATCAGTAAGGCTATTGATATATGTAGTTAGAATATAGTGCATGGGTCATAATAGGTCATGTAGGATGCGGCGACCGATTTGCTCGGCCCGCGTTCCACGTCTGACAAAAGACCCATGGTACTACACAAAACGTATTCAAATCCATTAAATGTCACAGGCTAATGATGGCATCGAGAGTAGATTATGGTCTTAATAAGTTAATTAACGTCTAATTAATAATTTAGATAACATTTTAGGCTTAAAGAAAGACCTGCAATAGGCAGATTTACCTCTTGCATAATGCATGGTTAATAAGCTATTCATCGGGATCTTCCGTCCTGGCTGCCCCTTGCCAGTGGTGCGGGCCGGAGGGCCTGGCACGGGATAACGTATAGTCGTTCAGATGGGTCGACGAACCGAGGTCCCGTGTACACATTGGTGTGCACGTAAAAGATCATTTGGAGTAAGACTAGGCCATAGTGCCACTGTCTGGGCAAAGTTTCCCATATATCACACTACATGTATATGGCATATGTCCGTCTTCATTAGCGCAGTCGCAACAGAACAGTAGGGCGTTAAAACTCATTTCATTTCATTCCAAGAAATGCACAACAAATATAAATTTACCTTATAACACACTGGATGGCATATGTCCGTCTTCATGTACCATTGCAAATCAACAACAAATAACAATTCAAGTTAATGGGTCCGCTGTACAGTTCCCGGCCAGGGCAGTAATGATACAGGCCCCACTCAATATCAAGAATACTTGTTTAGAATGAATTCTGTCATTTTTATTTCATAAAGTATACGAAACAAATTAAATATTTGACATATTTTAAGAGATCTCACTTTTAAGATGTCTTTAGCATAAGTGTGGAATGAAAACACCGTGACCAATATGACATATTTTACGTCATTATGCCCTATCTTGATAGGAGTGACCTCAATCAGTCATCGTTTACTTAATGGCTATAGAACCATGTTTTATTAATATTACTTCATTTAAACCAATTTGTTTTGTTAAATAGTTTAAAGGGCTGATCCCAATAACTTTTTGAAGAATAAACCTGCTTTATCCTCTACCTAAGGGCCGAGCCACTAACTCAATATTTGTGATACGTTTTCAAACAACCTAGACCCATCAGTCTTCATCTGGAAATGGAGACCGGTGACCCAAGCTGTATTATACGGTGTCTGGATAAAACCAGACATTGTTTTGATAAATATTACGTGTATCAAGAACAACACTGTATAGACCTCTCAAGGAACGGGAATCGATTATCAGATCACCCAACGAAACAAATTGACCCGAAATCTTAAAAGGGTTACGTGTCCGGATAAGCAGTTTTGATGTTCAGGCCTAACCGACTCAATATTTTGAGATGAGATTTAGAGACAAGGTAAATACACCATTTCATACGTACGACTTTCATTTTTAAGACTGTTCAAATCGGAATAGCCCCTTTAATATATATTTAACTGTCCTAATTTATTATCAGTTAAATAAATGTGTGTTCTTTTAATTTTTAATAATAAGAATGTCCAGAGAGAGAGAGAGAGAGAGAGAGAGAGAGAGGGAGAATCTCTAATGGTCGAGAGCAAGACCTTATAGAGCAAGGACCCAGAGTGGTCAACCTAGCTGAAAAGTGTAACAATTTTCACCTATATGGCATCAATGCAGATATATCTGGTATCATCAGAATGTAAGTCTGGCGGGTTTCTAATATGGTGGGTGTGGCTGTGAGGGTTGTAATTCTGGGCGTGAATTCTTGGGTTAGATTAGTTCAAAATTGTACCACATGAAAATCGTACAGCAGTGTAGCGTATATCTTCAGACATTTCTAGTGATGGGGTACCCCTGACAGAGCTATGTAATTGCCAGACATTTGTAGTGGTGGAGTATCCCTGACAAGAGTTATCTACTAGTAATTTCCAGACCACAGTTAGGCTATATTAGCTGAAATCTGTGCCACCTTAATCAGCTTTGTGCGGTGGGTTACCCCTAACAGACACGCCCAAAATGCCACGGGCCCCCAACTAGGCTATAGGTTAGCGGGCACTGTTCCCGCGGTCCGAAAAATTAAAAATTGTGCCAGGATGCGTAGAATACTAATACCTAGCCCCATAGAATGTTTTTTGCCCAACAATTAATTTCTTGCAAACGCAGTTTATCGCCTTTTCTCTGAGGATTCTGGTCTATGATCAGTGAATATGGGAAGCAAGGGGTTGGACAGACGAACGGACAGGGGAGACGACAATATACAACCACATTAAAACGCGACGTGCCATCAAATTCGTTCAATTGTTATCTAACTTATTTTCTTTGGAGCCAGTCGTCATATCACTAAAGTTATTGATATAAAACAGGGTTAAACGTCCTACTGTTCTGCTCCGACAGGGCTATTGAAGGTAGACTAAAGATATTTACTATTTAATTGTGCTTGTATTGATATACAGGCTGTGAAGAATGCAGGGTTGTCGGAGGACACAGGTTCAACAATTATCTGCGAATGGTCGAATGGTTTCATTAAACATGTAAGAATACGGTCGCCATATTTATTTGCCGTGAACCAATTTGGTGGACCTGTTCTAGCCTATATTCCCTTGAATCAAAGCCTGAAGTTTCTCTTGAATCGGTATTTTGATTTCATAAATAGCATGGACTATACCACGATAAATATGATATTTACTTTACCCCCAAACAAATCCATGGCTGTATTTCGAAAATCGTACTGGAATTTTAAGACCCATAAACAGATCTATATTTCATTTTATACTTTCGATAGCCTACACTACATGAAGATCTGACCGGTTGTAGTGGGGCGTCGCGTCGGAGGTCATACGAACGACTTTTGGCCTATGACGTCAGGTATTGATTAATCAACCAGCGTTGGCGTTTCTAGTGGTTTACCCACAGTTCCTTGCATCGCAAGCCAAGAACTCGCCGTAACAGACCGTTTCATTGGCTAATCCCTCATATAACAACTTTTCCAGATCCTGGTGTTGTGAAGACAAGTAAAACGAAACTTTGAACTATAAAAATACGAAACGAATTAAAATAGGATCTGTGTTTTAACCAGATTGTGTCACTACCAGCCTGTGGTGGTTGAAATAGTTTATAGACTTTAGTGTCGTGTCAAAATATACAAAATTAATAGAAAAGAAATCGTAATCTTGTATAGACAAGATTGATGGCGTGATATGCTTAAAACGTGTTTTATAACCTGAATCCAGTTTCGGGACATCAACTAAATAAATAAATGAAACGTCATTTTCATTTTAAAAAATTATCTCGATATTCATAGCTATAAAAGATACTGAAGAAATGGAAGGAAATGCACCAACTGTGGTAATGAAGACGGGCATTCGTCATACAGTGTGAAGAAAATTTTGCCCGGACAGTGGTACTGTTATCAACTCTTATATCGAATTCTTGTCAAGGGTCATCTTACGTGCACGGCCACGGGACCTCGGGTTTTCATCCGTCTGTCTTGACAATGGGTTACCGTGATCGAATACGGGACCTCGGTTAGGTAAGCGAGCGAACGTCTTACTTACGGAGTCAAAGTGGCTTACCACAAGTGAAGAAGCTGAACACCACACCGCTCACATTCACATATATTTTATAGTTTTTATTTAAAATACTTTATTCCTCCTGGAACATTACTTCCCAAAACTTAAGAGTTGGGGGTGGAAAGGAAAAACAAGCCAACAACGAGAGACTGCCTCAATCCTATAAACAATGAATCAGACCCATTTAACACTTACACACGTTTCTTTTAATAAAGAGAGAAAGAGAGAGAGAGAGAGAGAGAGATTTTAATAAAGAGAGAGAGAGAGAGAGAGATAGGGTTTAACGTCCACTCAACACAAACTAGGTCACTTCCGAACCAACACATGGTTCAATTTAATTTCAATAATTCGCTTGTGACATACCTTTTGATACAAGGTGCACACACTAACCATTCGGCCATCCAACCTCCCTAAAGTTTTTTAAAACTTTAGGGAGGTTGGATGGCCGAATGGTTAACCTTTAAAAGGTACTTTCTCACAGACCTGAGTCACCTGATACAGCCCACACATGCTAACCATTTGGCCATCCACCCATCCACCCCACCATCAAGGGAAAAAGTCGACATATTGTTGTGAACCTAAACAAGGAGGCTAAGACCAGGGTCAGATAATTAGAATAATTGTCCCCTCTCATGTGTGAGTGGACCGGATTGGGACCACTGGGAATACCCAGGATGCACAATACATTGTGCTATGAGTGAAATTTTGCCCGGGCAGCGGCACTATGGCCTACTCATATATTGAGTTCCAACTTCCAAGGGATCTTTAACATGCACGCCAATGAATACATGGGACCTTGGTTTTTCATCCTATCCGAACATCTAGACAGCTGTCCTTGTCAAGCTCTCTGTCCTGCACCACTGACCATGGCGGAAAATCCTGATGAACTTTCTCTGCCAATGCAGGGATCGAACACGCAACCTCCAGGCTAGCGAGCCAGAGTCTTACCCATTTAGCTACCATGGCTCCCCTGTGGGGAAAGAAAATCATGATGCATGCACGGACGGACAAACGAACTGCTAACTGTAAACAGGGTTTAACGTCCTACTGTTCTGCTCCGAACTGGGCCAGTGAAGACGGGCATACACCATACAGTGTGCAATAAAGGAAATTTTGCCCCGACAGCAGCACTATGGCCTACTCTGATATAGAATTCCAACTGCCAAGGGATCTTTTGCGTGTACGCCTATGTCTACATGGGGGAACCACGGTTTTTCATCCCATCCAAACGAAAATCCTAATGAATTTTCTCCGCCGGTAGCAAACCCGCTAATAAAAAAAAAATAGCAAGTGATAAAAGGCTAAAATATATTTATTATTCTTGTCCATCAGCTTCATCCTCAGCTATTTCTTTAGCCAATTCTTTGTCACTTTCTTTAAACTTTTCCTCTGTTTCTTTTGGAATGTCCACTAAATGTAGGTTCTCCATACCTTCTTCTGGTTCATCTCCGATCAAAATATCCACCACATTTTGAATAGCGTGATTATTAGCAGCAGTTGTCTCCCATTTATGGAATTCTCTCATGATAACGTAAACATTCTTCTCTTTCATAACTCGTCGGCCATGTTTGGTCGCTAATAACTGCAAAAAAAAAAAAAATATAGAGGTTAATGAAAATAAAGTTTAATGAAAATTTACAGGGTATATAAACTAATATCTACCACAGAATCAGACAGAAAGCAATTTTAATTATCATTAATATTTCAAAAGACAAAATATTGTTGTGAGGCAAATGTTTTAAACATCATTTTCCAAGAAACTCTAAAAATTATAGAGAAAAACTCTCTAGCTGGTTTTAGGGCTATCATTAAAGAATAAGCAGTCCGAAAATGAGACATTTATCTTCATTATTATCAGAGATATGGTGTACCTACGTTTTTCATACTTTTTCCCAAAAATGTGTTACCCTGGCAACATTTTCTTTTTTTAATGTTAGTTTTCCCTTGTTTATTACATTTCATAACTACTTGTGCCATTTTCAATTCAATAGCTTTAGAATTTCACAAAACATTTTTCGGGTAGCCTCACCCCTTAAGATACTTTCTCACAAAAGTATTTATTTCCAAGATAACTAAGACAATTTTGTTCAATACAGGAAGTAGGCCGGGACACTCAGTCTTACTAGAAACATACTGGATTGCCTGTAAATACTAACAGGGCTTACATTACATGTATGTGGTCTGATCAAGTAATTTTGAGAGCACTGGGTGCGTTGATCAAATAGCCTGCGGTTGTGAGAATAGTGAAAGGCTGAAACGTACAAGATACTCTCCAATTAGACGGTGGAACACGAAGTTGGCAGATGATCATCCAAGAATTTATTTAGACTTTGATATTTATGGTAAAAGGACAGCAAATAGACAAATATTATCTTTAAAGGGCATTTAGTGAAAGCGATATACATGTATATAACATACATGAAATGAAATGAAATGGGGTTTAACGTCCTACTGTTCTGCTCCTATACTGGGCTAATGAAGACAGGCATACGCCATACAGTGGGCTATGAGGGAAATTTTGCCCGCACAGCGGCGCTACGGCCTACTCATATATCGAATTTCAACTCCCAAGGGATCTTTTACGTGCACACCAATGTGTACACGGGACCTCTGTTTTTCGTCCCATCCGAACGACTAGACAGCTTTCCTTGTCAGCCCCTCCGTCCTGCATCACTGATAAGGGGAAACCACGCCAGAAAATCGGGATGAACTTTGTCGGCCAATGCAGGGATCGAACACTCGACCTCCAGGCTAGCGAGCCAGCGTCTTACCCACTTAGCCAGGCGATCCCCTATATAACATACAGCTTTATGGACAACCTTCACTAGGTTTATTACACATACTTAAACATACAGACAATATTTTAAGCGAAAAAGTGCTGCCCGTTCAACAAAGTGGTGCCTGGGAGGGCCCTCCACCCCAACCCCGGCCCCCACAGACACACATGGCTTAGATATGCTGCTGATTTAGAATTCTGTGCTGTTGTGTATGAGGTGCAGATTTTCTTGGAATTAAATAATTAAAGATTTTGTAGGGCTCATCCAATGTTTTGTTTCTCTGATTGAAGGTTCTGGGAAGCATGTATAGCTTTGCTTGATAATAAGGTAAGAATAACCCCATTGAAACGTTGCACTTAATAAATCTAGAGAATGTTTTCCATAAAGCTGTTTGTTATTAAATAGACAATACAAGGAGTTTAATCCCTCCTTTTATTCCATTTTGATTTAATTCATGCTGACAAATCCCAAGGAACAATCTCAGCCAACAATGGGTCAGTGAACCAGCGCCTTATTCACTCAGCCACTGCAGCTCCTGCTGTTGACAAGTAGTTGAAAGGAGGTTTTCTCCATGTACCTGATTAAATGAAATGGGTTTAACATCCTACTGTTCTGCTAATGAAGACGGGCATACGCCATACAGAGTGCAATGAGGAAAAACTTGCCCAGACAGCGGCACTTCGGCCTACTCTTATATCAAATTCCACCTGTCAAGGGATGTTTTACATGTAAGCCAATGTGTACACATGAACTTGGTTTTTCGTCCCATCCAAACAACTAGACAGCTGTCCCTGTCAGGCCCTACGTAGTGTACCATACCTGATTAATGGTTTCTATCAACATGAGTCGTATATCAGAATCAGGCTCTCGTGTTTTATCTGGTGGTAAGTATTGTAGATCTATGGGTAATTTTTCCATATCGTCATCGTCAAACTCCTCCCCTCCTGCTAACGGTAACAATAACCTCGGTAATATATCAACATCGTCTCCTAGCAACCATTCATGATAACCTGAAATACACAAAAATACATCAAATTGTTAAAACTTAAACATCCGAAAAACATCACAGAAATTGAAATAAATAAAGGTTCTTCAGTCAGGAAAATTTTCATAAAAGTCCTATTTTTTTATTTTTGGGAGACTTGAATAAACATTCAGGAATGGAATTCTCTCAAGCCCACGAATACAATTAAAGATACATTATGGGAGATTCATAGGCAGTTCTCACTATAATAGTTAAAAACTAGATAATGTAAAGGCAATTTGCTGAAAATTTCATTCAAATTGATCCACTATGAACCGAGAACTAAGCGGTTGAAATTAAATAAGCGGTTGAAATTTCCGCCTCGCCTCAATCATCATTACTAAAGTCAGTACGATAAACACCATAGTCTTGATTATCCATTTAATCGTTAAATCATGAAGGAAAGTTATGCAGTAAAACGGCTCATAATCCACTAAAGATTGCAGGCTAGCGATACCATCTAGAGTTGATTATGGTCTGGATAGGTTAATTAATGTCTAATTAATAATTTAGATAACATTTCAGGCCAAAAGAAAGACCTGCAATAGACAGATTTAGCTCTTGCATAATGAATGTTTAATAACATGGAGAATTTCTGTGACATTAAGATGTCTATTGCCAGGATGTCTTTAGTCACAGTTCTATAGAATACCATTTATTACTTGAACAACGTTTCATTACAAATGACGACAAATGTACAAATTGTTTTCATGGCATTTAGTAATTGAACTGGAATAAACATGTCACAATTCTATGAAATACAGTTACTGTTTATTACTGAATGCTTGATAATGACTACAGAAGCCTCCAGTTCAATTACCAAATGCCACTGAAACAATGTATAAATTTTGTTGCCATTTGTATAGTACAGTGTAACTCAACATTCTGTTCTGTAAAAATGAAATGAAATGGGGTTTAACACGGGCATACACGATACAGTGTACTACATGTATATGTCCCACTGCCTACTCTTATATCAAATTCCAACTGCCATGGGGATTTTTCACCTACACATCCGAACAACTACATGTAGACAGCTGTCCTTGTCAGGCCCTCCGTTGTGTACCACTGACAAGGATAAACCACATCGGAGAATCCTGATTAACATTCTCGCCAACACTGGGATCGAACCCAGGCTAGACGACTAGCGTCTTACTCACTTAGTCACAGTGCCCCATCACCCATTCTGTTCTGTTCTGTATTGTGTTCACACAAATCATTCTGTGCAAGGTACGTACTCGCCTCACTCACGCAAGTTGATATTTTGGAGAATAGTCATCTACATGTATTTGCCATCAGTTTGATTGTGGCAAGCCCTAGGGTTTGAGTAATGCTTGGCTTAAAAATTAGGCAAACTTACTAGAATCAAAACAACAATTTCGTATTGCACCAATAACACCTCCTCTTCGTATTTCAGATGCTGAAAACTCTGTAAAGGGGAGTAACCGCTGAATAATGCATCTGTCCTTATTTGTGACTTCTTGACGAATGTACGGTACTTGCGTTAAGTTTGACAAAATTGGTCCCAGATAATGAAGCTTGGCAGCTTTATTATGTTGCAGGTCACACAACGCATATACTATTTTTTCTATACTAATGTCTTCAGATTCAGCGATTTCGCTCACAAGTTTTTCAGCACATTTCAATGATCGCGTTACGTTTGACACAAGACCTGTCATTACGTCTGCTAACTTGTATTCTTTATCTAATGCTAATCGCATCCAGTTTATGCCGTTATTGGGATATTTCTCCATATTAAGCAGACGCCAGGCCGTATCTTCATCTGTGGCTAAATTCAGCAAAGAATAAAGAGCATCTTTCATAATCGCTTCATGTTCGTCTATCGTCAACGAAATAATTCCTTCTAAGTATTTATCTCCCTTTGAAATGAATTGTCGCCCTTCTGGAGATCCTGTCATGCCCAGAAAGTATTCCAATGCCAGAGATTTAACATCGGTTCTAGCAGACTTATTTAAAAATGGGAGAATTTCTTTCTCTAATGTTGACCTTGTGGCTTCATCTAAGGTTGCCATCTTCTAAAAATACATAAATTTATTAAATTGTTATATTTTTTTGAAGAAAAGTGGGTTACTTTACAATCATATTTTCTTGTCTCAAAAGTCCATATAAATTTTCAGAGAGAGAGAGACAGAGAGAGAGAGACAGAGAGAGAGAGTGTGTGGTTTAAGTCCATCAACATTATCTGGGTCATTTCGGGACTAACAATAATAACATTGGCCTATGGTTCAATTATTTATTTTTATGTTGGAGGTTACGGGAGGACCTAGAGAAAACCTGCGAGGGTTGACCAGGCGGTCCTACTCCTTGTCACATACAAACGGATATTCAAAACCTGCTACTAGACTCAATGACAGACCTTATGATCTAAAGCGCACACATATTAGACCATCACAGTCCCCACACACACACACACAGAGAAACTTAGAAAGAATTTTCAGGAAACAAAGGGTAGCCTACTCTGCTCAAGGACTTTGGGCTATTTACGTCTGCTGGGTCTTATTCTTATAATAGCCTCATACCACTGATTACTCCCGATAAATGATAAGAGCCCTCCCCCCCCCCCCCTTGCCCTATCATATACACTCCAGAGCAGAGTCCAGTCTACAAAAATAATGTCCGAGACTGACCCTTTTCTTATCCTCAAAACCTTTAAGGGACAGTTTAGATTGCTTTCACGACTTTAATTCTAGAATCTTCTTGTCAGAAAAGAACAGTCTACTTCACATCACATATAAATCAGCTCATTAGGCTGGCAAAATACAGTAAATTAATACATTTTTATATATTTATCAAACTCATTAAAAACCCACGTGAAGTCAACAAAATTTTCGTTAATTGGAGTTGTTTCCCTTGAATAATTTTAGTTTCGTATATCAATAAAAATTCCTTTATTTTCAAATAATGAGGTATACTTATTTATTAGAAGTGTTATTTATGCTTTTCATGTGATAGCAGAAAGTATTCCAATGCCAGAGATTTAACATCGGTTCTAGCAGACTTATTTAAAAATGGGAGAATTTCTTTCTCTAATGTTGACCTTGTGGCTTCATCTAAGGTTGCCATCTTCTAAAAATACATAAATTTATTAAATTGTTATATTTTTTTGAAGAAAAGTGGGTTACTTTACAATCATATTTTCTTGTCTCAAAAGTCCATATAAATTTTCAGAGAGAGAGAGACAGAGAGAGAGAGACAGAGAGAGAGAGTGTGTGGTTTAAGTCCATCAACATTATCTGGGTCATTTCGGGACTAACAATAATAACATTGGCCTATGGTTCAATTATTTATTTTTATGTTGGAGGTTACGGGAGGACCTAGAGAAAACCTGCGAGGGTTGACCAGGCGGTCCTACTCCTTGTCACATACAAACGGATATTCAAAACCTGCTACTAGACTCAATGACAGACCTTATGATCTAAAGCGCACACGTATTAGACCATCACAGTCCCCCCACACACACACACAGAGAAACTTAGAAAGAATTTTCAGGAAACAAAGGGTAGCCTACTCTGCTCAAGGACTTTGGGCTATTTACGTCTGCTGGGTCTTATTCTTATAATAGCCTCATACCACTGATTACTCCCGATAAATGATAAGAGCCCTCCCCCCCCCCCTTGCCCTATCATATACACTCCAGAGCAGAGTCCAGTCTACAAAAATAATGTCCGAGACTGACCCTTTTCTTATCCTCAAAACCTTTAAGGGACAGTTTAGATTGCTTTCACGACTTTAATTCTAGAATCTTCTTGTCAGAAAAGAACAGTCTACTTCACATCACATATAAATCAGCTCATTAGGCTGGCAAAATACAGTAAATTAATACATTTTTATATATTTATCAAACTCATTAAAAACCCACGTGAAGTCAACAAAATTTTCGTTAATTGGAGTTGTTTCCCTTGAATAATTTTAGTTTCGTATATCAATAAAAATTCCTTTATTTTCAAATAATGAGGTATACTTATTTATTAGAAGTGTTATTTATGCTTTTCATGTGATAGCAGAACAATAAATTCAGAAAATATAAAAATAATCAAATTGAATGCGAATCTAAACATTTGGACTCTAAATTCGAAGATTAAAGCTTCCTGTTTTGTAAAATATTTTGTAGAATTTCGCCATAATTTTTGTTGAATAATTACATAATATACTGATTTATTACTTGCTGAATGAATTTAGTTTCTAAAAAGGTGATTTCAAGCTTTTCCAGAAAAGCATCTTAAGTTAACCGTCTCTTATCTTCAAGAAGAAAATTCCTTCACAGATTTGCCGAATGGGAAAAATAAACCAAACGGTGCCGGTGAAGTGGGGGCGGGGCATAAATAATTTTAATTTATCTGTTGGTTGTATAATGTAGCTGTACCTTAAGTGGAAAAAAAAACAACTTTTAGTAAAATAATTAGACTGTGAGAAAGTAATAACTTGATATCTGATGTCCATTACGTTTGTCAGGAAGATTAGCAAATTCAGAATTCAGGGATGAATAAATTGTCTGAAACCAATTCTCCATCACTCAGATGAAATCCACTACCCAACATTCCATCAAGCGAGTGTTTGGTTTGTCGAATGTTTAATGCATGTCCTATAGATCATTTTGTCTGTCATTGACTGACTGAGTCAAGTGGCGTGGTTTTGAATCTTCACATGCACATGACAAGGACTAGAATCCCCATTTCAACATCATGTTTTGTTTTTTTTCCTCTGTACCATTACCATGTGTTTAGTGACCTAGTTTGTGTCAAGTGGATGTTAAAACCCATTTCTCTCTCTCCCGTTCCATCAAACCATCGTAATAGGCCTACTCAGTAATTCTCACTATTTAGACAATCTAATCGACATCTTTTAGTACATTGACCCTCCTTCACATGCTGATTTCATTGGGCGAAAGTGCTGTACTGTCTGTCAACTGGTTGTAATGTTGTTAGGCAATCGGAAGATCAGTTTAAGCTTACATCATGGAAAAAATGTAATTGCTCTTTTGATCAATGTGAAAAGATTAAGAAATTACCCAAAACCAAGATCCTTGTTCTATTTTTATGGAAATATGTTGAAAACATGTATTCTCACTCAAAGTAAAAGAAATCTTTCATGCTGACATACTCTTTTATCTGATGTGTGATTATTAGGGTCCCAGGGCTTACTTTTCTTCAAAAATTGTATTAATAAACAACTAGCTGCGTACCATATGGACACGGAACACAACATGAAATTATCACAGCAATCTTGGAATTGTGACGAATAAAGTTAAAGATATATTCCTGCGTACAAACTGGGTGATTTAATGGTATATATGGACTAAAAACATATTTAAACTAATTAATTTGTCATAATTTTGCTTCATATCCTTCTCAAACATTGTAATTGCGAAGGAATGCCCTGCTATAAAAATTCGATCAAACCAGGTCATGTTTACGTCACGTGACTTACCTCACTTGGAAGTCAAGAGGAGAATTCATTGCATACATAAGACGATGTTGTCTTTAATCGCTTACTATTTATTACAAATATCGAATCCTAATTAAATTCTCGGATTATCCACTACCCGCGTCTTTTTCCGTCGTTTTATCTCAGAAAGTGTTGTACGTCTAACTCATCATAACCTTTGACATCAAGCGTGCAGAAATTCCTAATCGTCAGGCTGTCGATTAGGGGAACCCTTACATTTTTGTCCTGTATACTCTCCATGAGTGTTTTTCGGGGGAATCCAGTATTTTTCTAGTAAGATTGGATATCTCTACTTTCCATATATACCAAAATTGCCATACTTTTCTTGGAAATAACCACCAAATAAATACTTTTCTGGGAACCCATCTTTAAAACCCATTTCTCTCTATTTTTATAAGGGTTGCCTGTCCAACCTCGTGGGTTTTCTCCGGGTTCTCCGGTTTATTCCCACTGCTAAAGACCCCTATGCGCAAGCGAATTATTGAAATAAAGTTAAACCATATGTTAGTCCCGAAATGACCTAGTTTGTGTCGAGTGGACGTGAGTGGACGTTAAACCCCATTTCTCTCTCTAGCTCTCTCTCTCTCTCTCTCTCTCTATTTTTACATATATGTAAATATAATTATTTTTTCAGGTTAATTTTAAAGTGTTTGACTTGTGTTTTATATTTTATAAAACATGAGTAGACAACAAGAGTGACAAGGATATCTTGTTTGAAACCAGAAGTCATAGTGTATTGTAAACTGGACTTATTCAACTAAAGTGAAAAAACATGAAACTTTAGTTTTGAAAGTGCTTATTGCAATGCACAAATCAGACTGGTTTTATTCTTATCTTGTCTTGAAATGTTGGCCTACAACACACTTTAATATATTGGTAATCTTTTTTTTAAAATTAAATATATGACTGGAGTTATGAATTGTTTATATTTCAATTTGACTTGACTATTGTATGGTCGGATCGGATTGTAGTCTGTATATGTACCGCCTTCCTAATAACGGTAAATATTTGACTGGAATCTGCCCCATAGATTATGAATGTTTATATTCTTATTTCCCCTCGACTATGATTGGATTGGATCGCAATCTGTACATGTGCCTACTAATAACTTTATTTTTTCAACTTTGTCAGATTTTTCAGGATTTATTTTATTTTTTTTCATGTACAGATGAACTTATATGGCTGATTATTAAATTGGTTGGACAGAAATTTAGACATTGTAGACACTGTTCTGTAGTTGTGTTCATTTTATAAATCTAGGACTGAGAAATTAAATGATTGCATTGTTCTCTATCATAAATTCCAAGAGACGTAATTTCTAATTTCAAAAACTTGAACTAGAAGTAATTAGTAATGCAACAATAGATAATTTATTTAACAAAATACAAGTGTATTGAACGCTTAAAAAGGTTGAATCTTAAATTTGAAGCAAAGTAGTCTGTGTTTATTTTTTCCATACTAGTATTGAAAAATTCCGTTCTCAGACTCAAATGTCCAACGATTGATATCTACGGTTGGACTTTGAAGACGGGATGGAGTAAAAACGAACATCATCTGGAACTGTGGGTATAAAATCTCAAATAAAATGTCGGACATAGATACAAATATTGGAGGTCAAAATGATGAACTAGAAGATGGCGAGGTATCGGAGAACCCTCAAGATATTGATTTTGAGTGTTTAGAACCACCTGCTAAAATGGCAAGATATGGCACCAATCAGCCGTCGACTAGTGATTTTGACGATTCCTGCAAATTCAACCCCTCGAGTCAACCAAATTTGCACGAGTTTGAAATTATCGATGAAATTGAAAATGAGGAGATGAATGAGAATGAGGATAGCGATGATGAATATTTGGATGATAATGAACTTTATGATTTACTGGATCAAGGTCTTGATGGAAGACTGGCGTCCTCCGACCCAGATAAAGACAAAGATGACACCCTGGAAGAAAAAGAGAAAATTGTTTTACAGGGTAGGAAACTCCACATCTTGAAATTTAAATTGGGTTATTCTTTTAACCAGGGCTTCTACTTCAAAATTTTCACTGTCGGTCATTTTTATACGCCCACATTTTCATGTGGACGTATATTGTCGTCGCCCCCTGTCCGTCCGTCCGTCCAAAATTGTGAACAGTCTACAGGTCACAATTTTTATCCGATTTAAATGAAACTTGAAATATAGGTTTATCACCCTAAGATCTCGGTTCCTTTCGATATTGGCATGTATCGGACCGTAACTTCATGGATTATGGCCTCTGATTGCACGAAAAATCACGTTATTAGCTTGTGAACACTGTAGAGGTCACAATTTTTATCCGATTTGGTTTAAACTTGAAATGTAAGTTTATAACCCAAAGATCTCGGTTCCTTTCGATATTTGGGCATATCGAATTGTAATTTCCTGAATTATGGCCCTTGATTGTAGGAAAAATCACTTTCGTTTTAGCTTGTTTTCTATCTCTCTTTCGAAAATGTGGGCGTATCCTGCCTGGCAGCCGCTGGTTGATAACGCACGAAAACTTTGCAAAGTAAATTCATATTTCATGTTTTTTATTCATGGTAGGGTATTGTGAATTCATGTGTCTATACCACTTTGTTAGCATGGTGTACACAAAAAATTATATATAATCGACTTAAAAATGAAATATTTGTAAGGCTTGTGATAATTATTTATTGTCCCCCGCCTTTCGAAGAAAGCAGGGGACTATTAAAATGGGTTCGTCCGTCTGTCTGTCCGTCTGTCCGTCCGTCCGTCTGTCTGTCCGTCTGTCTGTCCGTCACACTTTTTGGGACACAATAACTCTCTTCCTAATTGAGCTAGAATGTTCAAACTTGGTGTATGTGTTTATTAGGTCAATGCCTTGATGGAGTTCGAAGATGAGCATTTTCCGCTTAGGGTAAGCAGAGATAAGCAATTTGATTGGTTGATGCTTTGGGACACGATAACTCTCTTCCTAATTGGGCTAGAATGTTCAAACTTGGTGTATGTGTTGATTAGGTCAATGCCTTGATGGAGTTCGAAGATGAGCATTTTCCGCTTAGGGTAAGCAGAGATAAGCAATTTGATTGGTTGATGCTTTGGGATACGATAACTTTTAATTGAGCTAGAATGTTCAAACTTGGTGTATGTGTTTATTAGGTCAATGCCTTGATGGAGTTCGAAGATGAGCATTTTCCACTTAGGGTAAGCAGAGATAAGCAATTTGATTGGTTGATACTTTGGGGCACGATAACTCTCTTCCTAATTGAGCTAGAATGTTCAAACTTGGTGTATGTGTTGATTAGGTCAATGCCTTTGGGACACGATAACTTTAGTTCTAATTAAGTGAGATTGATGAAACTTGGTGTATAGTTTCATTACAGTAATACCTTGACTAAGTTTGATAATGAGCATTTTCTGCTCAGGGTAAGCAGAGCGATACGCAATTTGATTGGTCGAGACTTTGGAAAACAATAACTCTCCTACTTTGATTGTCCCCCGCCTTTCGAAGAAAGCAGGGAACTATTAAAATGGGTTCGTCCGTCTGTCTGTTTGTCTGTCTGTCCGTTCCGCTTATGGTAAGCAGAAAAAACAAATTGAAAAAGAAACTATTATAAATTAATTAAATATGTAGTATGCAATAATGAATTGACATTTAATGACAGAAAGAAAACAGTGAACTTTGCACAACTTGCAGCAAGATGGAAAATAGACCCGTTGATACAACCAAACTCTAGATCTGTAGGCATAGAGCATGTTTTCCCCTTAATATGCTATAATTATTCCATCAAAAACATTGTATGCTTAGACTATAAGTAAAGATATACTGTTTGATTGTTCAATACTTTGTAAAAGATAATTTGTGATAAATTTATATGTGTCCTCTAATTATTTTCCTATTTCGGCGGGGGACATCAGCCTCACTGTTGGCTTGTTAATTAAATATTCCCTTTTGGCTACTTAAATAATCGATATGGCTAAATTGGCCGTAGGAAAACCATTCCAGTAGGTGATACATAATTACCATGTGCTCTATAGAAAAAACACTAACCTGGCTAATTTCGAATTGTAACACAATAACTCTTTAGCTCCTGGTGGTAGATATTGACTGCTCATGTTCCCTGAAAAAATCAATTTAAAGTAGCTAATTCTCTAACTCAATATCATCCAAAGTCTTACACGTTGAAAATACGAATTATTTGTCAGTTTCAAATCAACATTGATGTTGTAATCTTACCAGGAAAAGGCAGGCTTCTGATATCCAATATTTAAGACAAAATAAACATTTTACCATTGGTACACGAATCGTGTACTATAGTGCGTTTTAGCGTCATTTGCAACAAGTGACCAGAAAGAACGAGGCTACACATATTCGACTGGAGAGCCTGCTTAATAGACTGGAATAACCAGACACTAGAAATTGCTATAGGGTTGAGACACATGCTGTATTTCGCTGGACATAACTGATTTGAAATTAGAGTCAAAAAGGAAACAATTGAATGTAAATCAGTTTATATACAATCAGATTACATTATTATATGCGTGTCGACCCATTTGGGTCAATTTCTAGGTCCCAAATATTAGCGATTTAGCTCCTTTAAATATTTAATTTTTGTACATGTAGCAAATTTGGGAATTACCCTTGTTTGCTCCATTAAAACAATTTTGATGTATTTTTCAGAGAAAGGTCACAACCCGTTTGATATTCTACCAGAAGGTTGGGTTGTCGTCACTCATAACAGTGGTATGCCTGTATATCTTCATAAGGAAACAAGAGTTTGTACAATGTCAAGGCCATATTTCCTCGGACCAGGCAGTGTACGAGTAAGTTAGGGAATGGGTATTTTGTGTTACAGCACCAACATGCAACAGTGCAGGTTGAATATAAACTTTAAAATCATACGCAGTCCAAAAAATATTCATTATCCCAGTAGGATGTTAAGCCCCATTTCGTATGATTAGCGTGTGTGCGTTCCTCCAGTTGCCTCCCACTGCTAAAGACCCCTACATGTATGCGCAAGCGAATTATTGAAATAAAACTGAACAATGTGCTAGTCCCGAAATGATCTGGTTTGTGTAGAGTAGACGTTAAACTCCATTTATCTCTCTCTCTCTTTTGCAGAAAATTAGGTTGTTAAACCCCATTTCATTCCACTGGTATTTATTATGGTTTTAGAAACAATTTAATGTATTTTTCGGACCACAATAGAAGGACGTTAAACCCTATTTCATTTTAAATCCATATTAGAAATATTCTTGCAGGATGGAGGGCCTGACAAGGACAGCTGTCCAGTCATTCGGATAGGACAAAACCCGAGGTCACATGTACACATTGGCGTGCACGTAAAAGATTCCTTGGTATTTGGAATTGGATAAGAGTAGGTAATAGTGCAGCTGCCCGGGCAAAATTACCCTCATAGCACATTGTATGGCGTATGCCCGTCTTCATTAGCCCAGTCGGAGCAGAATAGTTGGACGTTGAAACGTCATTTCTTTTCACAATATTGTGGTTTGCAAGGGATTAATTAACAATCCCGTAAATAAGTTCAGAGACTTGAAATCCTTTAAAAAAATGTTTGCTTCCAGTTGCATAAAGTTTTTTATTTATTTTTTTTTTTTTAGCGCCATGACATTCCAGTCAGCGCCATTCCTTGTTTACAGTACAGAAGAGCTATGGAGAAAGAGGCGGAAGACAAGACGGGAAACATCAATAAAGACGACATGGAGAGTGACAACATGACAGAAACTGTCGCCACGGATACAGCTGATGGTACTATGGAGACACAAGAGAGAACAAATGGTGTTAGTGAAGAAAGTTCAGTGACTAATGACAATTTTGCTTCCATAAAAATTAAATCAGAAACAGATACAGAAGTTGATATAAATGGGTCAGATGATCCGACATCTTGTACAACAGCTGACGGAGAAAATAGTAGTACAAAAGACGGTATGTAAATGAAATAAAAATTTCTCTTGCATATTGGAGAAAATCGTCCGTGGAATAACTTGACTTGCAGACATACGTCAGACTCGCTGAGTATTTTATTTGGATATTACCTCTTGCTAAAGGCAGTGATTAGTCTCGGTCACCCTGTCTCGGTCTGGATCGGTTGTCAACATTTGTTGAAATTTAGGGGGGTTGGATGGCCGAATGGTTAGCACGCGCGCGCTGTATCATACGGTCTGTCATTGAGTCAACTGGCGTGGTTTCGATTCCCCCGTTGTACGTGACAAGGAGTAGGGTCCAACCTAGTGGGTTTTACCGGATCCTCCGGTTTCCTCCCATTGCTCAAGACCCCTACGCGCAAGCGAATTATGGAAATAAAATTGAACCATATGTTAGTCCGGAAATTACCTAATTTGTGTCGTGGACGTTAAACCCAATTTCTCTTTCTCTCTCTGTTGAAATTTACTGTATAATCAGCCACATAAATAACCAAACACCTGGTTATGCATGGGCAATGGAACTTTTTAGATAATGTTATGGTGAAGACAAATTAGGATTAAAAAATAGATATGGTCCTTGCGGGGAGAAATTTTACAATAGAAAAATTAATAGTTTAAATTTCAATGGGCATGGACATCTTGTTTTAGGGATCGTTACCTCCCTTAGATTTTGTTCATGATACTGTAAAAGACCGGTTTCATCCCATTGCCACAGATCCCTACGCGCTTGTGAATTATTGAAATAAAATTGAACCATATGTTAGTCCCAAAATGACCTAGTTTGCTTAGTGTTTGTTAACATTTCTCTCTTTTTTTTTTTGTGACTGCATTCATCCATTTATGACCGCAACCTTACAAAACTTGCTGGAAACCACATGGTTGTATTAGATGATTAATAAACATATGAACTGACTACTTTAAGAAAGGGGGGGTTAAATGGCCGAATGGTTAGCGCATGCGCGTTGCATAAGAAGGTCTGTCATTGAGTCAACTGGCATGGTTTCAATTCCCCTGTTGTACGTGACAGGGAGTTGGGTTGCCTGTCCAACCTCGTTGTTTCGAATCCCCGGTTGTACGTGACAAGGAGTATGGTCGCCTGTCTAACCTCGTGTGTTTTCTCCGGGTCCTCCGGTTTCCTCCCACTGCTAAAGACCCCTACACGCAAGCGAATTATTGAAATAAAATTAAACCATATGTTAATCCCAAAATGACCTAGTTTGTGTCAAGTGGATGACGGACGTTAAACCCCATTTCTCTCTCTCTCTCCAACCTCGTGGGTTTTCTCCGGGTCCTCCGGTTTCCTCCCACTGCTAAAGACCCCTACGCTCACGCCAGTTATTAGAATAAAATTAAACCATATGTTAGTCCCCAAATGACCTAGTTTGTATCAAGTGGACATTAAACCCCATTTCTATCTCTACTTTAAGAATAAATTTATTGTATTTTCAGGTGATAATACGACTGCCAGTGGCTCTAAGATTTTACCTGATTCTAAAGTTAGAATAGAAACATTGTCTGAACGGAAACAAGATACATCATTAGGTATGTTTATAATTTCACATATTTACTTTATAATTTTCTGGGTCATTTACTTTATAATTTTCTGGGTCATTTACTTTATAATTTCACATATTTACATGTACTTTATAATTTTCTGGGATATTTACTTTATAATTTTCTTGGATATTTACTTTATAGTTTTCTTGGATATTTACTTTATAGTTTTCTGGGATATTTACTTTATAGTTTTCTTGGATATTTACTTTATAACTTTCTGGGATATTTACTTTATAGTTTTCTGGGATATTTACTTTATAGTTTTCTGGGATATTTACTTTATAGTTTTCTGGGATATTTACTTTATAGTTTTCTGGGATATTTACTTTACTTCAATATTGGGTTTTAATCTTTTAGAGGAGTTTGATTTAATGTTAACATTTTTTTATTAAGTAGCCCTAAACGGGAACATTTTTGTCAATAAATCAGCTATTCATCAATTCTGGTAAAATAGTAATTACTTTTTGATGACCCGAATGTGGAGGGGTGTGTGAGGCGTTGTGTGTATGGTGAAAGTATATGGTTTCGTTTCAAACTTCAGAAAAATAATTATTAAATTATTTGCCTAGATGTTTGTCTTTTTTATCACTTCAGAGAAATTATTATTTACTTTTTTTTATTTTAATAATCTCCTTAGATTCACTTGAGGTTCGAGAGTATTGTGGAAAGTTGTTTGAATTTAAAAGTATTACCGTTAAAAAATGGAAGTAAGTGTTTTGAATCTTTCTGCTTGGGAATGGGGGGGGGGGTGGCCGAATGGTTAGAACATGCGCACTGTATCAAAAGGTCTGTTTTTGAGTTAACTTGCGTGGTTTCGATTCCCCGGTTGTATGTGACAAGGGAGTAGGGTCGACTGTTCAACCTCATGGGTTTTCTCTGGGTCCTTTGGGTAGAGTTATCTCGTATTGATTCCCATTTTATAGTAGGCCTAGATAAATGAGTCCTTCTATTACCGGTAGGGGGGTTGGATGGCCGAATGGTTAGCGCGTGCGCGTTGTATCATAAGGTCTGTCATTGAGTCAACTAGCGTCGTTTCGATTCCCCAGTTGTACGTGACAGAGAGTAGGGTCGCCTGTCCAATTTCGTGGGTTTTCTCCAGGTCCTCTGGTTTCCTCCCACTGCTATTGACCCCTACGCTCAAGCGAATTATTTAAATAAAATTAAACCATATGTTAGTCCCCAATTGGACCTAGTTTGTGTGGCTTGGATGTTAAACCCTCTCTCTCTCTCTCTCTCTCTCTCTCTCTCTATTTCATTTCTAAACAACTCCAAAGCTGTTTAAGCTGGTACAGATTCTAGCTAATCTAGCCTAACTGTGGTCTGGAAATTAGATAACTATTGTCAGGGATATTCCACAACTACAAATGTCTGGCAATTACATAGCTCTGTCATTGTTACCCCACCACTATGTAAATATGCATTGAAGACAGAAATGTTTTTATAACAATATGATATTTTCAGTTATAAAAATGATGGTTTGAGATAAGTAATTTATGAAATAAAAAAATCATTTTCACTTTCCCCTTTTTTTGTGTTACAGAACATGGAAAGATCGTAGAATCCATATGAAGAAACAATTCCGCCCTGAATTGGTAAAAAAAAGAAAAACACACTAAATTTTTTTACACAAATATATATACAACCCATAATGTCATCTTTAAGGAGTTAGAAAAATGTGATATGAGATTTTCCGACGTGGTTTCCCCTTGTCAGTGGTACATGACGGAAAACCTGACAAGGACAGCTGTCTAGTCGTTCGGATGGGACAAAACACTGAGCTCCGATGTATACATTGCCGTACACGTAAAATATCCTTTGGCAGTTGGAATTCAATATAAGAGTAGACCAAAGTGCCGCTGCCCGGGCATAATTTCCGTCATAGCACACTGTATGGCGTATGCACGTCTTCATTAACCCAGTCGGAGAAAAACAGTAGGATGTTAAACCCTATTTCATTTTATTTAAAGAAGAACAATTAGTAATTTATGCAGTACACAATTTTTAAGGGAAATCAATCATTGGTTTTATTCTAAAAGCATGATGTTTCAACAATTAGTATCCTTTAGAGGCATTTAATATGCTCTGAAGAGGAAACAGGGGTGTTGGATGGCTGAATGGTTAGCACATGCGCGCTGTACCATAAGGCCTGTCATTGAGTCAACTGGCATGGTTTCGAATCCCCGGTTGTAAGTGACAAGGAGTAGGGTCGCCTGTCCAACCTCATGGGTTTTCTCCGGGTCCTCTGGTTTACTCCCACTGCTAAAGACCCCTAGACGCAAGCAAATTATTGAAATAAAATTAAACCATATGTTAGTCCCGAAATGACCTAGTTTGTGTCGAGTGGACGTTAAACCCCATTTCTCTCTCTCTCTAAGAGGAAACATGTTGAAACGTATTGCTCTATCCAGTTATTAAATGCCTCTAAATCATAACAATGTTGTTTGATGTAGCAGGCATCAACTGAGTAGGAGCCACGGTGACTCAGTGAGTAAGATGTTGGCTCACTAACCTGGTGGTCCCATGATCGATCCCTGATAGTTCATTGAGGTCTTCTTCCGTGGTTCCCCCTTGTAAGGGGGGATCATGGTGGCTAGGTGGGTAAGACGCTGGCTCGCTAGCCTGGAGGTCGGGTGTTCGATCCCTGCAATGGCCGTGAAAGTTCATCCAGATTTTCCCGCGTGGTTCTCCCTTTTCAGTGATGCAGGACGGAGGGGCTGACAAGGAAAGCTGTCTGGTTGTTTGGATGGGACGAAAAACCGAGGTCCCATGTACACATTGGCGTGCACGTAAAAGATCCCTTGACAGTTGGAATTCGATATAAGAGTAGGCCGTAGTGCCGCTGTCCGGGCAAAATTTCCCTCATAGCACACTGTATGGCATATGCCCGTCTTCATTAGCCCAGTTCGGAGCAAAACAGTAGGACGTTAAACCCCATTTCTATTCATTTCCCCCTTGTAAGTGCTGTAGGACAGAGGGTCTGGCAAGGAATAACGTATTGTCTTTTGGATGGGACGAAAAATCTGGGTCCCGTGTACACATTGGTGTGCAGCTTAAAGATCTCTTGGCAATTGATTTTTGATATAAGAGTAGGCCGTAGTGCCACAGTCTAGGTAGAATTTCCCTCATAGTAGTCATAGCATACTGTATCGCATACGCACGTCTTCATTAGCCCAGACGCAGCAGAACAGTAGGATGTTGAACCCCATTTCATTTCATTTCTTTTGGGAATTCAGAGTTTCTTTACTCAATTTATAACATGTTGATTTCAGCCGTCCAATACGAAGCTGTTAATTACATGTCCAGTCCCTCCGACATCTAAAACAGGAATGATGAAATCCAATAAATTAAAAGGTGAGCTCTCAGGTCATAATTATTTTCAGGAAAAAGAGAAATAGTTTAGGTGCCTTGTGAACAATGTTTTGTTTGAAATAGTTTAGGCGCCTTGTGATAAATGTTTTGTTCGAAATTTCAAATCTGATAATTTTTGGAATTAGAAGAGTTTTATAAGAGCAACCATTGAACAAGTAGGAAGCAAGATTTTCAAAAGGTGTTTCTGAAAAATAAAAATTAATGAATTACGAGTATGTTGTATGACTTTCCTGTATGACTTTCTGGAGCCACGGTGGCTAAGTGGGTAAGATGCTGGCTCGCTAGCCTGGAGGTTGTGTGTTCGATCCTTGGATTAGCCGAGAAAGTCCATCAGGATTTTCCAACGTGGTTTTCCCCTTGTCTAGTCGTTTTGAATGGATGAAAAATTGAGGTCCCATGTATTCATTTTCGTGCACGTAAAAGATCCCTTGGCTGTTGGAATTCAATATAAGAGTAGGCCATAGTGCCGCTGCTCGGCTAAAATTTCCCTCATAGCACACTGTATGGTATATGCCTGTCTTCATTAGCCCAGTCGGAGCAGAATAGTAGGACGTTAAACCCCATTTCATTTCTGTATGACTTTCTAATATGATGTTATATGAAAACATCAATATTTACAATGGTTTGACTTTGAAAATTAAATGATAATTCAAAACCACCCGCAAGTATACTAGAGTATACCCCATTTACCAGTTAATAAAATTGAAATGTGTTTATTTCAGAGTTTGTGTTAAATCCATCTGGTAAATCGTACATCTGTATTTTACATGAATATATTCAACATACGATGAGAGTCCAACCTAGATATAAATACAAGGAACTCGGTGAGTAGTATTAAATATATAAAACACACGATGAAAGTTCAACTAAGATATAAATACAAAGAACTCAGTGAGTACTATTAAATATATAAAACATAGAATGAAGAGTCCAACCCAGATATAAATACAAGGAACTCGGTGAGCAGTATTGAATATATTCAACATACGATGAGAGTCCAATCCAGATATAAATATAAAGAACTCGGTGAGTACTATTAAATATATAAAACATAGAATGAGAGTCCAACCCAGATATAAATATAAAGAACTCGGTGAGTACTATTAAATATATTCAACATACGATGAGAGTCCAACCTAGATATAAATATAAAGAACTCAGTGAGTACTATTAAATACATAAAACATAGAATGAGAGTTCAACCCAGATATAAATATAAAGAACTCGGTGAGTAGTATTAGATATATAAAACATAGAATGAGAGTTCAACCCAGATATAAATATAAAGAATTCGGTGAGTAGTATTAAATATATAAAATGAGAGTTCAACCTAGATATAAATATAAAGAACTCAGTGACTACTATTAAATATATAAAACTTGGTAAATATAAGGAACTTGGTGAGTAGTAAATATATGAAACTGGGTGAATATAATAGTAGCACCTGGGATAGGAAATATGTAGATCTGAGTGAGTATATAAAGATTCTAGGGTTAATCTCAGTTGTTAAAATATGCCAATCTCGTGGGTTTTCTCAGCGTCCTTCGGCTTCCTTCCACTGCTAAAGACCCCTACGCGCAAGCCAATTATTGAAATAAAACTGAACCATGTTTTAGTCCCAAAATGACCTAGTTTGTGTCAAGTGGATGTTAAAACCCATTTCTCTCTCTTTCACTGTTAAAATATGACTATAAACACCATTCTTCACGACCATTCTTTGCCACATTCTCGTTCCTAGGAAATATTTATTTGCAGTGAGTTGCTTTGTGAAATTTAGAGGACTGTTATACTCATTCAACACTCCCAGTTTAACCAATTTGATACCATTTTGAACTAAATCTAATTTAGGATATATTCTGAAAGGAGAATAGGGGTCACGGTGGCTAAGTGGGTAAGACGCTGGCTCGCTAGCCTGGTGGTAGGGTCTTCATTCCTGCATTGGCCGAGAAAGTTCATCCAGATTTTTCGGTGTGGTTCCCCCTTGTCAGTGATGCAGCACGGAGGGCCTGACAAGGACAGCTGTCTAGTCGTTTGAATGGTACGAAAAACTGAGGTCCCGTGTACACATTGACGTGCACGTAAAAGATCCCTTGACAATTGGAATTCGATATTAGAGTAGGCTGTCCTTGCAAAATTTCCCTTCATTAGCCCAGCTCGGAGCAGAACAGTAGGACGTTAAACCCCATTTCATTTCATTTCTGAAAGGAAAAGGTCTAATTATTTGGTAAAAATTCTAGGGTTGATCTTAATTAAAATATGAAAATAAATATGTTTATTCTTTACAACCTTTCTAGGTAGAACCTAATAAATAATTTAAGATTTAGACAGGCCTAATTATTTGCGTTGATTTTACAGAGAATTCTATGACTCCGTTCAGTGCTACCGTTATAATAGAAGAAATAGAATATGGCACAGGATACGCCTCCAGTAAAAAAGCTGCCAAATTACAAGCTGGTATGTAAGATTATTAGTTTGATTCAAAGTATAGGTAGAGAAAATTCGCCTGTCCAACCCGCATGGATTTTCTCGCGGTCCAGGGATGGAGGGTGGTGGGTGGCCAAATTGTAAACATGTGACCGTTGGATCAGAAGGTCTGTCATTGAGTCAAATGGCATGGTTTCGATTCCCCGCTTGTACACTACAAGGAGTAGGGTTACCTGTCTAACCTCATAGATATTCTCTGGGTCCTATGGAGGGGTGGGAGTTGGTAGAATGGTTAACGCAAGCCCTTTCGATCATAAGGTCTGTCATTGAGTCAAGTGGTGTGGTTTTCATTCCCCTCTTGTACTTTACGAAGAGTAGGGTTGCCTGTCCAGTTGAGGCCCTGTTGGCATAGCTGTAAAAGAATCTGTGATGATTATAATTCAGTTGCTGCCCGGGCAAAATTTCCCTCATAGCACACTGTATGCCCGTCTTCATTAGCCCAGTATAGGAGCAGAACAGTAGGACGTTAAACCCCATTTCATTTCATTTTCATTTATATCCACATTGTTGAAAAATATCAAATATTATCTTATTTTGATATGGTGTGACTATATGATTGGTGATATTTTGAATATATATGTTTTACAGCGAAGGCTACGTTAGAAATTTTAATACCTGATATGAATAAAGTAACACAGGATCATAATATAGATACCGAAGATCTGTCTGTAAGTATTTCATCAACTCGAGCTTTAGATCGTCAAGTCTGTCATTGAGAGGGGGGGTGGGTTGGATGGCCGAATGGTTAGAGCATATGGCTTGATTTTAATCCCACACTTGTACAGTCCACTAGCGTGGTTTCTATTCCCCAGTTGTACGTGACAAGGAGTAGCGTCGCCTGTCCAACTTTGTGGGTTTCTCCGTGTCCTCCGGTTTCCTCCCTCTGCTGAAGACCCCTATGCTCAGATGAATTATTGAAATAAAATTGAACCATGTGTTAGTACCGAAATGACCTAGTTTGCGTCAAGTGGATGTTAAACCCCATTTCTTTCTCTCTCTCTGTCATTGAGCTAGACGGTTGATATTTATCCCAGACTTGTTCAAAACAAGGAGCAGGGGTTTCTGCTTTAAGGCTGAATCCTCTCATTCTTTGGTACTGTGAAATCTTGCTACTAACATCAGTTGCGGAACCGATATTGATAGTGGAATGGTTTTCATGCTGAGTTGGTATCCCTAGGTTACAGATTTGATATATTATTCTAACATATGGCCCCGAGTTCACAAAGTATTCTCAGACTTAAATTAATTCTTTCATCCAGAAACATAAAACTTTGCACAAAGGGCTATATTTTAGTCAAATTCTTAACTTATGTCTGAGAATGCTTTCTGAACTCGGTGTAGGGTTGTGTATGAGTCTTTGAACTGCATTTACTTGTAATTCCTTTGTCAAAAGTAATTTTTATAAAAATGTTTGAATAATACAGACCCATACAATTATGCTTACTTCTATCACTTCGTCTCTGTAATTTTTTTAATAATCATTAATTATTGGGGGGTTGGGATGGTCTAGTGTCACGCTTCAAGCGTTAGCTGACCAGTCACCACTGGCCTGCAGTCGTGGTTTTAATCCTTGGTGTGAGCGTTTGTGGCTTGGAAATAGGGGCACCTTCTCAACCTCCCGTTTCCTCACACAGGAAAGATCCCTGCGCATAGTAAAAAAAGACAACTTGTCTGCAATGTCACCCTCGGTGGAACCAGACGTTAAACACCAATAGACAAAGAAGAATCATTATTTAAATGAAATGAAAGGGGGATTAATGTCCTACTGTTCTGCTCCGACTGGGCTAATGAACAGATTGGCATACGCCATTTCTACTCTTATAATGAATTCTAACTGCCAAGGGATCTTTTACGACAGAAAGCTGTCCTTGTCAGGTCCTCCCTTCCTGCATCACTGACAAAAGGAAACCACGTCGGAAAATCCTGATAAACTTACTCGGCCAATGCAGAGATCAAACACCCGACCTCCAGGCTAGCGAGCCAGCATCTGAATCATTAATTAAATCTTTGTTATTGTAGTTTTTTGATGAAGTTAAAATCGAGGATCCAAGAGTTTATGAATTAGGTAATAAAGCTGGACAACCAAGTCCTTATCAGATTCTTGATGAATGTTTAAAAAGGTGAGTTAATCATGGATTGGATTGTTTTATTTCTCATCACAGGAGATAAAAAATAATAGACAGATCAGTTACGTTCCAATCAGGGCAAACGTTTTGCTTTAAATGAAATGAAATGAAATCGGGGTTAACGTCCTAATGTTTTGGAGCGGTTGTATCATAAGGTCTGTCGTTGAGTCAACTGGCCTGGTTTTGATTCCCTGGTTGTATGTGACAAGGAGTAGGATCGCCTGTCAAACCTCATGGGTTTCCTCCCACTGCTAAAGACCCCTACGCACAAGCGAATTATTGAAATAAAATTAAACCATATGTATGTCCCGAATTGACCTAGTTTGTGTCGAATGGACGTTAAACCCTATTTCTCTCTCTTTCTTACTGTTTTGCACCGACTGGGCTAATAAAGAGCGAGATGTCGTGTTTTCGGGGAACACACTCTAATATTTTACTAGTCAATCAATATTTTCCCATATTTTGTCTTATCACAGATTATCCATTATTTTGCTGATCTCAGATTATCCATTATTTTGTTTAACTCAGATTATTCGGAATATTGTTTACCTCAGATTATCCAGTATTTTGCTAATCTCAGATTACCCAGCATTTTGTTGTCCCCCGCCTTTCGAAGAAAGCAGGGGACTATTAAAATGGGTTCGTCCGTCTGTCCGTCTGTCCGTCTGTCCGTCCGTCCGTCCGTCCGTCCGTCCGTCCGTCCGTCCGTCCGTCCGTCCGTCTGTCAGTCACACTTTTTGGGACACAATAACTCTCTTCCTAATTGAGCTAGAATGTTCAAACTTGGTGTATGTGTTTATTAGGTCAATGCCTTGATGGAGTTCGAAGATGAGCATTTTCCGCTTAGGGTGAGCAGAGATAAGCAATTTGATTGGTTGATGCTTTGGGACACGATAACTCTCTTCCTAATTGGGCTAGAATGTTCAAACTTGGTGTATGTGTTGATTAGGTCAATGCCTTGATGGAGTTCGAAGATGAGCATTTTCCGCTTAGGGTAAGCAGAGATAAGCAATTTGATTGGTTGATGCTTTGGGACACGATAACTTTTAATTGAGCTAGAATGTTCAAACTTGGTGTATGTGTTTATTAGGTCAATGCCTTGATGGAGTTCGAAGATGAGCATTTTCCGCTTAGGGTAAGCAGAGATAAGCAATTTGATTGGTTGATACTTTGGGGCACGATAACTCTCTTCCTAATTGAGCTAGAATGTTCAAACTTGGTGTATGTGTTTATTAGGTCAATGCCTTGATGGAGTTCGAAGATGAGCATTTTCCGCTTAGGGTAAGCAGAGATAAGCAATTTGATTGGTTGATGCTTTGGGACACGATAACTCTCTTCCTAATTGGGCTAGAATGTTCAAACTTGGTGTATGTGTTGATTAGGTCAATGCCTTGATGGAGTTCGAAGATGAGCATTTTCCGCTTAGGGTAAGCAGAGATAAGCAATTTGATTGGTTGATGCTTTGGGACACGATAACTTTTAATTGAGCTAGAATGTTCAAACTTGGTGTATGTGTTTATTAGGTCAATGCCTTGATGGAGTTCGAAGATGAGCATTTTCCGCTTAGGGTAAGCAGAGATAAGCAATTTGATTGGTTGATACTTTGGGGCACGATAACTCTCTTCCTAATTGAGCTAGAATGTTCAAACTTGGTGTATGTGTTGATTAGGTCAATGCCTTGATGGAGTTCGAAGCATTTTCCGCTTAGGGTAAGCAGAGATAAGCAATTTGATTGGTTGATGCTTTGGGACACGATAACTTTAGTTCTAATTAAGTGAGATTGATGAAACTTGGTGTATAGTTTCATTACAGTAATACCTTGACTAAGTTTGATAATGAGCATTTTCTGCTCAGGGTAAGCAAAGCGATACGCAATTTGATTGGTCGAGACTTTTGAAAACAATAACTCTCCTACTTTGATTGTCCCCCGCCTTTCGAAGAAAGCAGGGAACTATTAAAATGGGTTCGTCTGTCTGTCTGTTTGTCTGTCTGTCCGTTCCGCTTATGGTAAGCAGAGATAAACAATTTGATTGGTTGATCTTCGAATTGAGTAAATGTTCATGCTTATTGTCCCCCGCCTTTCGAAGAAAGCAGGGAACTATTAAAATGGGTTCGTCCGTCTGTCTGTTTGTCTGTCCGTTCCGCTTAGGGTAAGCAGAGATAAACAATTTGATTGGTTGATGCTTTGGGACACTATAACTTTAGTTCTAATTAAGTAGATAAACAATTTGATTGGTTGATGCTTTGGGACACTATAACTTTAGTTCTAATTAAGTGAGAGTGATGAAACTTGGTGTATAGTTTCATTACAGTAATACCTTGACTAAGATCGATAATGAGCATTTTCTGCTCAGATTAAGCAGAGCGATAAGCAATTTGATTTGCTGAGACTTTGGAACACAATAACTCTCCTTCGAATTGAGTTAAAATGTTCAAAATTGGTGTGTATGCTTATTGTCCCCCGCCTTTCGAAGAAAGCAGGGGACTATTAAAATGGGTTCGTCCGTCGTCTGTTTGTCTGTCTGTCCGTCACACTCCTTCGAATTGAGTTAAAATGTTCAAAATTGGTGTGTATGCTTATTGTCCCCCGCCTTTCGAAGAAAGCAGGGACAACCAAACTCTAGATCTGTAGGCATAGAGCATGTTTTACCCTTAATATGCTATAATTATTCCATCAAAAACATTGTATGCTTAGACTGTAAGTAAAGATATACTGTTTGATTGTTCAATACTTTGTAAAAGATAATTTGTGATAAATTTATATGTGTCCTCTAATTATTTTCCTATTTCGGCGGGGGACATCAGCCTCACTGTTGGCTTGTTTACCTTAGATTATCCAGGGTTTCTTTATCTCAGATTATCCTGTATTTTGTTTACCTTAGATTATCCAGTATTCTGTCTACGATACCTGAGATTATCCAGTATTTTTAGATATTCTGCATATGATTCACCATATCGTGATGGCAGATTGGGGCCTATTCCCTGAATTCAGCATCCCTGAAATTCTGACTCGACATTAATACAGTTTATTATTATTAATAGGAATTATGGTCTGGGTGATACAAAATGTACGATGAACATGAAGTTATTAAAACATCAGAAGAGTGAATTTACTTTAACAGTAGGAAAACATACAGCATCAGTAAGTTCAATATTTAATACTAACAAAACATACAGCATCAGTAAGTTCAATATTTAATACTAACAAAACATACAGCATCAGTAAGTTCAATATTTAATACTAACAAAACATACAGCATCAGTAAGTTCAATATTTAATACTAACAAAACTTACAGTGTCAGTAAGTTCAATATTTAACAGTAGGCACTGTAACCCAGGTATCATTTAATCTTGTGTATCTAGCACTTATTTCTTTCACATTCGTTTAATATCAAATCTTTGTTTAAAAATTTGTAAAAACTGTTTAAAATCACCAAAAATCATCTAATTTGTACATGTGTCCAGTTTAAAGCTGACTGATTAATTTTGATAATGAGTGTCCAATTTACAAGTATTTAATTTCCTGACCACTGTTCAAAATTTAATCATTATACATCATTAATCTATTGGGCTGTTTATTTTTTAACAGTGATTGAGAAATTAAACACTTGTAAATTGGACACTCATTATCATAATTAAATGGTCAGCTTTAAACTGGACAGAAATACAAATTAAATGATTTATGGTGATTTTAAACAGTTTTTATGAATTTTTAAACAAAGATTGGATATTTGAACTTATGTGAAAGAAATTAGTGCTAGATACACAAGATTAAATGATACCTGGGTTAGAGTGAGGAAACATACAGTGTCAGTAAGTTAACCCTTTAGCATCTGCAACGACTGAAACTGTCCTAACTGGGGCTCCTTAGACTGTCCCAAACCAACGGTGTTCATGACAAGAACACCGGTATTCATGTATTATTTTTCACTAATTTTCTTCAAGGAAATGGGATAGCCAATTTACATGTGCTAAAGGGTTAAGCGAATAAATGAAGTGAAATTACACAGTAACCCAGATATCGTTTAATCTTGTGTATCTAGCACTAATCTTTTTCACATTCGTTTAATATCAAATCTTTGTTTAAAAATTTGTAAAAACTGTTTAAAATTACCAAAAATCATCTAATTTGTACTTGTGTCCAGTTTAAAGCTGACTGATTAATTTTGATAATGAGTGTCCAATTTACAAGTATTTAATTTCCTGATCACTGTTCAAAAATTAATCATTATACATCATTAATCAATTGGGTTGTTTATTTTTTAACAATGATTGAGAAATTAAACACTTGTAATTTGGACACTCATTATCAAAATTGAATGGTCAGCTTTAAACTGGACAGAAATACAAATTAAATGATTTATGGTGATTTTAAACAGTTTTTACACATTTTTAAACAAAGATTGGATATTTAAACTTATGTGAAAGAAATTAACACTAGATACACAAGATTAAACGATACCTGGGTTACAGTGTTAACATCCTACTGTTACTGTGTGCTATGAGGGAAATTTTGCCTCGACAGTGGTGCTATATCGTACTTTTATATTGAATTCTAAGTGTAAAGGGTTCTTTATGGTGCACAACAATGTGTACAGAGGATCTCGGTTTTCCGTCCCATCCACTCGACTATGCTTTGTATCTGGTCAGGTTCTAATGAACTTTCTTGGTCAACACAAGGATCGAAACTGAATCCTGCAGGTAAGTGAGCCAATGCCTTACTCCCTGAGCCACTGTGGCTCCCAAAGGGTTATAATAAACAGTAGAAGATATGAGACAATATTACCTTTATAAAGTATTATTGTTTATATTACAGGTTATAGCTAAAAATAAACGGGATGGTAAACAAAGAGCAGCACAAGCTATTTTACAGGTTACTTTCATTTTACATATATTAATTCATAATGTTTACATGCTACTTTCATTTTACACATATTATTTCATAAGTTTACACACTTCTTTCATTTTTACACACTCACATTTACCTGTGGACGTTTATATTGTAGTCTGCCCTGTCCGTCCATCCATCCGTCCACAGTTTGTTACTGGACACTCTACAGGTCACAATTTTTATCCGATTTTGACGAACACTGAAATGTATATTTACAACCCAAAGATCTTGGTTCTTTTCTACATTTGCGCATATCAGACCGTAGCTTCATGGGTTATGGCACCTGATGGTACAAAAAATCATGTTTTTGACTTGTGGTACATCTAGAGGTTACAATTTTTATCTGATTAAAAAACGTTAAAATGTATCACCGTTCGTGAATATCAGACCAAAACTGCCTAAAGAAATTAAAGATTGTGACCCTCTAGAGTGTACACAACATTGGTATTACATACTTTTACACTATTTGCGCACAGGCAGTGGCCATGTTGTCGAGCAGATTATTGGAATACATACTGACCTGTAATTTCTAATTTGTTGCCAAAAAGTATAGCCTAGAAAGGACAACAAAGACTACTAAATGTCTAAAATACAGATCAACATAAATGTTGAATATTACCAAAAAATTCCTATTATTACAATATTAGCAACATCCATTTATTAAGAGCTGAATTCATTAAACATACATTATGCAAGAGCTAAATCTGCCTATTGCAGGCCTGAAATGTTATCTAAATTATTAATTAGACATTAATTAACTTATCCAGATCATAATCAACTCTTGATGTCATCGCTATCCTGCGATATTTACTGGATTTGAATCTAGTCAGCTGCTGAACACTTATTGATGAGGGGGGTTGGATGGCTGAATGGTTAGCACGTTTGCACTGTATCATAAAGGCTGTCATTGAGTCAACTGCTGGGGTTTCGATTCCCCAGTTGTACATGACAAGGAGAAGGATCGCCTGTCCAACCTTGTGGATTTTCTCCGGGTCCTCTGGTTTCCTCCCCCGGCTAAAGAGCACTACGCGCAAGCGAATTATGGAAATAAAATTGAACAATATGTTAGTCCCGAAATGACCTAGTTTGTGTCGAATGGATGTTAAACCCCATTTCTCTCTCCTTATTGATGATTAAATCCAAAAATGGTGGCCTTGTATTTTTTTTTTTTTTTTAATGAGAAAGTCATTACTTGTCTACGGTTTTGCTTTCAGTTATATATTAAACATACTTAGAACATAAACCCAAAAATCAAGTCTACTCAAACACTGAACACTGACTGAAAGGAAAATAATTTTCCATATTTAATTCATGTATTGTACTAGCTTACTAATGGTAATGGTGACAACCATAATTGAAATTGGTTTAAAATAAAATTCCGTACGACTATAAATAGCCATCCATAATAACGACAATATTTTAAAGAGTAAGCCTCTGACAGCATGTGTATCAGAAATAATCATCACGATAAACGACACTTCGATCTAAATCTAGTATCGCTGGTTTATAATGATTGACCTAATTCCAACCAATGCATGTCACGTGTCATCGGGATTCGGGAAATGACTGTTTCTCAGGTTATTCGATGTGTTTCTCAGGATATTCGGTGTTCTATCTGGGGTTTATATCGAATGACTATTTAAATTTAACTAACAACTCGTCAGTAAAACCATCAAATGTGTAATCCAATAATTATTTTCCGGATTATCAAAACTACCGTTAAATGTGCTAATGACCCAGATTCTGACTAAGGTATGGTGACTATCATCGTATCGTATTCGTAGCCACAAGTTATAATAATTAACTTGTTCTACGATTCATTGTTTTATAAGTAGGATTTTTTCAAACATGGACCGACTGAAGCCGGCAATAATGAGCCGATTAAGATCGAATGATTGAAATACATTGCATTGTTGTCAATGACTTTCAGTGTTTAACACGAATCAAATTCTAGTTCACAAGGGGAGGTAATTAAAATCACATTATACAAAAATGGAGGTTCTTTCGATATCAATAAAAAAGACCCGTAAATGAGCGTTTACATCTGAATCAGTTTAATACATTTGAATGGATATTCACGTATGGGGCATGTAGATACATGTGGCATATATTTTTTATGACTTGCTTATCGATGTTCGGGCGGGCGTTACATATTTTTTATTTTTCATCAAGACTAATAAATAGGCCGCACGCGCAACCAATTTTGCATACGGGCGGTGCCCGAGAAACAACTTATTTTATTTGTGTTGCCTTACATTATCTAGATTTTAACTATTATAATGAGAACTGCCAGCTCTGTATCTAATAGTGGATCAATTTGACTGGAATTTTCAGCAAATTCCCTTTACATTATCTAGATTTTAACTATTATAGTGAGAACTGCCAGCTCTGTATCTAATCATCCATAATGCCCCTTTAATCTTTACTCTTACAAATTTTCATTTTAATACATACAAAGTTAACAGTGGCAGATTCTAATCCCTCGATTTGAAATTACCAGATATCATAATTATAATATCTGTTACTTTCAGAAATAAATATCTCCTCATGTGAAATATAACACAGGGTATCGGAATAGGTGAATTATACAAGAGAGGAATACAATTTCTTCATTTTCATTTTAAAACACACAAAGTAAAAGCTACATGTACAATTTCATATTTTTAAGTTATATTTTTAAAATGTATTAAAATAAAGCCTTAAAATTGATGCTATGTAGAAACAGGCCTACCTTGATAAAGAATAATCCTATTAATCCTATAATTCACTATTGCCAGTTGAGAAATTGGCAAAAATATAATTTTCAATTTCAAATTCAAATGTTTGAAGATAGCTATTCCATGGTAGGGAATAGAAAATCAAGGGAGGTTACTGTGTTATTATTTCCGGTGTGAAACAGGTTTGAGTGTGAGAATGATAACTATGATCGTATAATAGTGAGTTGACAACCTATTGAGCAAAAGACATAGAAATAATTACCTTTTGACTTTCTTAGAAAATATGAAATTCTCGCTTTAACAATGGCAGAATCTAAGCCTTTGATCTGATATTAGATATTATAATTATTATAAAATCTGATATTTTCTGAAATAGATTTCTCCTAATATGAAATTCCTAATAAGAGGAATACAATTTCTTCATTTTAAAAATCCAATTACATGTGTCACATGTGTTGTCCTTATGTGAAATGTAACACAACAGAGGAATACAATTTCTTCGTTTTAAAAATCCAATTACAGGTGTTGAGTTAAATTCAGAGAAATGCTGTGGTATAGCCAGACTTAGGAATGTAGGACCCTGTAGGGGTGGGGGGGGGCCTGACGGTAATTATATTAGGAGATATGTATTTCAGAATGGTTTGGATGCAGCCATGACGAGTGTGACGCCAAGCAGGGTAAGCATACTCTTCCAGACACCTGTTACCACTGTTTGTCGTGTATTTTATAAACAAGGTGACCAGTCCATTTGCTGAATACACTATTTGGCTGATAGCGTTTTTTTTAGGACATCGAATTCGTACTTGGTTTTATTTTATTACAGAATATATATCACATTATAGATTTCCTATACTAATTAAGATTAATAAGTGTAGCTAGCTGAAGAACTTAATAAAAACCTAGTTTTACAAGCTGGCATTTTGCAGCCCAGGTTTTTAATTACATGTGGATGTATATTGTCGTCGCCCCTGTCTGTCCGTAAGTTCACATTTTCTTTGTGAAAACTCAGCAGGTCAAAATTTTTGTTCGATTTTGACCTAACGATAGGTTTATATCCCAAAGATCTTGGTTCCTTTCAATATTGGACAGCAACATCCTGGATTATGGCCCCTGATTGTATGAAAAATCAAATTTTTTTTTTATTATTTTTTATTTTTATTCCATCTCTCATAATGTGGGCATATATTGCATGACAACCATTAGATCTTTTTTTTCACTTGAATTACAAAATTTTTATTTTATTTCCTGTATTTTGTTGGGGTATATTGATCGTCAACAACCTCTGCTATGATAATAGACAAAGTATCCATTTTGGCATTAAGGATGCGTTATTCAAGAGCTAAATGTTATATAAATCATTACTTAGACATTTATTTATGCCAAGCCCATAATCAACCCTCTAGAACTTGGGATTGGAAGTTAATGATTTAATTTAAAAATGGATAATCAAGACTTTGTTTATTATTCTAACAGGAGTAGCAAGGACAATTGAGACTACACTGTTCTTCAAACGACTATAACTCCTTCAGAATGAAGTAATTTTCAATATATCCCCTTTTTTCAGTATTTATTTTGTAACTGTCAGCTCTTTATCTAAATCTTACATAATCTGAAATCTTAAAACCCATTAATTTCTTGAAGCTTTTTAAATGTATATATCCTGCAATTTATACTGATTCATGTGTTGTCTTAGTATTTTATTGTTAATTTTCATGATTTTATAATTTTTATATTTGTACCATTGTAAAGCACCTCTGAACATGTGTATGTAAAAGAGGGGCTATAACAAATGTTTGTAAAAAGTAATGATAATGCATCTTTAATTATATTTCAGTTATTACATCCACATGTCTCGTGTTGGGGTTCATTATTAAGATTATATGGTAAAAGTTCTGTTAAAGGTCTAAGTGAAAAGGTATAAATAATTTATTTTTATTTAGAAAGTTAAATATTATGTATACATTTAAACGTATAGTAAAGCATGTCTGGAAAAGAGGAGCTACGCTGACTCCTAGAGGTCTAGTATTCAATCCCTGCATTGGCAGTTAAAATTTGATATAAGAGTAGGTCGTAGCGCTGCTTCCCAGTCGGATTGGCGCACAATAAATTGTCTTCATTAACTTAATAGCTGGGCCGTCTTCATTAGCCCATTCGGGACGTTAAACCCTCATTTCATTTCATTTCTCTGTGAAAGAACTTTATAGACATGTTTATAGACATGAATATCGAGATTATCATAGGTCTTGGAATTTGGGAACTTCCTGTCGATCCCAGGTGGAAAGTGAAAGTTTATATTTCTTTATAGGTAGCCATGGTTGCTCAGTAAATAAAAGGTGCTTGCTAGCTAACCAGGTTTTAATGTTGTGGTCTTCCCTTGTCAGTCATGCAGGATAGAGGACCTGGAATATAACAGTGTCTAGTTGTTTGAATGGTACAAAAAACTGCTCGTAAAAGAAACTTTGATGGAATTCAAAATAAGAGTAGGCTGTAGTGCTTCTGTCCGGGCAAAATCACCCTTATACGCGTCGTTCCCCCTATCAAGGGACAATATATACTTGATGGGATAAGACAAAAAAACAAGCTCCTGTGTACACAATAGCGTGCATTTAAAAGGACTCTTAGCAGTTGGAATTCTCTATAACAGTAGGCCATAATGCAGTTGTCTGGGCAAAATTCCATCACTGCATGGTATATTTCCGTCTTAATTAGCCCAGTCAGTGCAGAACAGTAGGACGTTAAACCCCATTTCATTAACCCAGTCAGTGCGGAACAGTAGGACGTTAAACCCCATTTCATTTGCCCAGTCGGAGCAGAACAGTAGGACGTTAAACACCATTTCATTAGCCCAGTCGGAGCAGAACAGTAGGACGTTAAACCCCATTTCATTAGCCCAGTCGGAGCAGAACAGTAGGACGTTAAACCCCATTTCATTAGCCCAGTCGGAGCAGAACAGTTGGACGTTAAACCCCATTTCATTAGCCCAGTCGGAGCAGAACAGTAGGACGTTAAACCCCATTTCATTAGCCCAGTCGGAGCAGAACAGTAGGACGTTAAACCCCATTTCATTAGCCCAGTCGGAGCAGAACAGTTGGACGTTAAACCCCATTTCATTAGCCCAGTCGGAGCAGAACAGTAGGACGTTAAACCCCAGTTCATTTCTCTCTATTTTTTGTGCAGAAAGAAGAGTTACCTATAAATCAGCTACAGAATCAACCAAATGCTGCCAAACCATGTTTAAATATTCTACACAGGTTAAAAAAAGAGATGATGAAATTGCATGCCGAGAAGGTGGGTTATCATAAAATGTTTTAATTAGATAAAGAGTTGGAAGTTCTCACTATAATAGTTAAAAACTAGATAATGTAAAGGGAATATGCTGAATATTCCAGTCAAATTCCTTCATTTGAGAAAATGTTATCATAAAATGTTTTAATTAAAGATACATTATGTAAGATTAGATAAAGAGCTGGAAGTTCTCACTATAATAGTTAAAAACTAGATAATGTAAAGAGAATATGCTGAAAATTCCTGTCAAATTCCTTTACTCTAAGCCGAGAAAAACCTAATTTAAAATCACTGTAGCTTTGATTGCCATTGTTTTGCCATTGTTACTGCTGTCCAGATAATTAACAAAGTTTTGATTATCCATTTTTGGGTTCAATCATCAATGAGTGTTGATTCGCAGATCGGATTTAAATCTATTGAAAATCGGACCCATCAGAAGGCATTGAGAGTTGATTATGTTCTGGATAAGTTAATTAATTAATGTGTAATTGATAATTTAGATAATATTTCAGGCCTAAAGAAAGACCTGCAATAGGCAGATTTAGCTCTTGCATAATGTATGATTAACATTCAATGAAACTATAACAAATACGTATAGAATAACAATTACTCATTTATTTGAGTATCCTTGGAAACATTGAGAGAATACTGCTCGAAATGTTGCCCAAATGAACTAGTAATTGCCCTCCCATAAGCCATAAGTATATGATTTATTTTTATTCCTTGGCTTTTTGCAATGCCATGGGCACTATTGACAATTTAATGTATCACGTTTTCCAACCTCATGGGTTTTCTCTGGTTTCCTCCCTCTGCTAAAGACCACTATGCGCTAGCGAATTATTGTAATAAAATTGAACCTAGCGTAAGTCCCAAAAAGACCTAGTTTGTATCGAGTTTATGTTAAACCAAATTCTCTCTCTCTCTCTCTTGTCGATTAAATGTAATATTTTCAATTGGTTTATATTTTCAGGGTTCAATCAAATCAAAAGGAAAACTTCATATAGAGACGCAGCATTTCCCTAAAAAAGTCCCAAACCTGGATTTATAATATTAATAATCATAATGAATACCTCATGATGAACCAATCATATACCAGCCTTTTAGTCACATGACCATCTCCATCCAATCAAATCATAATATTATCAAATGTGTTTAAAACATCCCTTCTATGCAAATGAAATGTGAATTATTTAATTAAGCATTATTGTGAAATGGATATTGTATGTATATATATATATATGTGTGTTTCATTTTGCTTCTATTTATAAGAATGTGTTCAGACTGGAGGGAAAACAAACATTATTCGCAGTCATCTTATTAAATTAATTACAGAACAAAGTCTGGCTCATTTTATCTTTCAAGCTTAAAGATATGGGTGGGGTGGGGGGGTGATTGTTGGTTAGCCGAATGGTTAGCACATGCGCATTGTATCATAAGGTCCGTCATTGAGTCAAATGACCTTGTTACAATTCCCTGGATGTAGGTGACAATGTGTAGGATCCAGGGTTTTCTCTGGGTCTTCCAGTTTACTCCCACTGCTAAAGACCCCTACGCGCAAGCGAATTATGTAAATAAAATTTAACCATGTTAGTCCCTTAATGACCTAGTTTGTGTCAAGTAGACGTTAAACCCATTTCTCTCTCTCTCTCTCTCTCTTTCTCTCTCTCTCACAGTATACAGTGGTGTGCATGGAAAAAATCCCTTGGCAATTGGAATTCGATATAAGAGTAGGCCATAGTGCCGCTGTCGGGGCAAAATTTCCCTCAAAGCATACTGTATGGTGTATGGCTGTCTTCATTAGCCCAGTTTGGAGCAGAACAATAGGACGTTAAACCCCATTTCATTTCATTTCATTTCTTTCTCTGTGTGTTTCCATTTAGCTTAAAGACACTGGGGTCATCTCTTTGTGCTCAAAACTTATTTTTTATTGCCAGTTAGCTTATTAAATTAACTATAGTGCCGCCGTCAATCAATGGTGCTTAAAGTCTACTTCCACCTAGGGTGACATCCCAGATAATTGTTTCCTGGGGAAACATGTGCTAGGGGTCTCAACGGACTGGTCTTGCACAGTTTGAAGACGGGTAATAGATTACCAGACCTGGTCGAGACCTTAATTATTGCTTCCATTTCCTTGGTGTTAAAGGCGGAAGTGCCTGGTGAGTTGCCGTGTCCAAAGTAGTATTAATGACTATATAGGCTCCATCTAAAGGCATGACTCCAGGATGCAAGTATTAAAGGTATCCTGTTTTAGCTTATTAAATCAACTAAAGTACAAAACCTGGCTCATTTTATCCTTCAAACTAAAATATATGGACAGCTTTATTCAAAATAATAGTGTTGATGAATAAATATTAGAAGAGGCTTTTCATAACCACAGTATTTACCAATAAAGATAACCTCCCATTATATATTTTAATTATGAATTACGATAATCACATAAATACTTTTGAAACCTTGTTGAGGCATGGTAAAGAATGACAAAATCTCCAGTCACCACCAAGACATGATAGAGCAACATAGGGCGATAATGAAGAAGCAGTTATTGCATGAATTCACTCGTACCACCCCCTCGCTTGCGTCCTGCGTTGAGGCATTATAAAGAATGACAATTATTGGCCTAAATCGAGCTATGCCCAATTTTCTCAAGGAACATGACAATGTAGCAAAAAGGTGACACAATCTATTGAACAAAGGACACTTTATAAACAAATGAATTCCACCAGATGGGACAAGGTCTGCCAGGAGTGTCACCTTAAAATTAAAATAAATTAATTCCACAGATTAAACATGGTCTATCAGAAAGGTTAATTAATTCTACCAGATGTGACCTTGTCCGTCAGGAGTGCTACCTGATGCCTTAAAATAAATCAATTCCACAGATGGAACATGGTCCGTCAGGAGAGCGATCTTATACCTTAAAATAAATTAATTCCACAGATTAAACATGGTCTATCTGCAGGGTTAATTAATTCCACCAGATGGGATGTGATCCGTGAGCACAGCCACGCTATACTTTTAAGTATTGATGTGATATCTGTAAAATATTTATTATATCACCCAATAATACATTCTACAGTAGATATCGCTTGTGTGATAAATATCATAATCTACTGCGATATCTCCTTAGGAGATATCACTTTACATGAATTTCATTGGTCAGTTAAAAAGGAACTACTTTTTTATTTTCAATAAACCGTTCATTAAAAATGAACTATTTTTATTTAATTGACCTTGGTGGAAACAATGGGTCAATATAAAGGACTTTGCAATGGGTGAATTGCTGTCAAAAAATGATGTATCACTACGCCGTAATGCAATCAGTTCAGTAAAAGTGAAATCTATAACAAAGAATTATATTTATTTATTTGTGCATGTAACAAAGGATTGGGTGATAAATAAAATCTCCTACTCGTCTTTTTTGATATCAAAAAATATCAACACTCGTCGATAAAGTAAAAAAAAAAAATCGGCAGAGCCTCGTTTTTGTTACTTTATCGACTTGTGTTGATATTTTTTGATATCAAAAAAAATTCGTAGGGGATTCTCTATATATACACCGCTACAGTTTGTAAATATACTAAATCTAATAAATCCTTGTCACCTTTATTTAATATAGATTGTCTGGCAGGTGGGTCGAGGTATAATGAGACAATGAAAAGAAAAATGCATTTGACATCCTGTATTAAGTAACGTATTGACACTATATTTTGAGACTAACTCAGTTGTTTTCATGTAATAAGGTTTTGTCCACATTCTGCGTAGGTTATTTTACCTGTAAACTATCACAGGTACAGAGAGTTGAATATTTTATAAGGTTAGACGTAAGGTTTTATTTCAGAGAAATACAATTAAATGTGGTTTAACGTACTACTTTGCTGCGCCGGCGGGCCATACGGTATGGTATCAGTGCAGGGGCGTAAATGTGTGTGTGGGGGGGGGGGGTACGCCTGGAAGAAAAATATTCGGTTTGCAAAATCAGTGCAGTCGGTCGCAAAATAAGAGCAGTCGGTATCAAAATAAGTGCTCACTGCATACGTCACGCTACTTACACAAAACTTTAGTATAAAATAACCTTGTTAACTTATCATGTTTGAAAAAATGTTGTGTTTTACACTTATTCTGTTGTGAGTATGTTGGTCTATGAACAAAATTTCCCCAAGGGTGAAAAATAGTCGGTCTCAAAATAAGTGCAGTCACTGCAGTCGGTCTCAAAATTATGCATCGGCGACTCAATGAATTATTGAGGTAAACAAACAATGCCAGAATAGATCCCAAATACTATGTATTTGCGTGAATCCGTGAGCCTAAATTACATACGTCACACAAAACTATAGTATAAAATAACCATGTCTGCTTGTCATGTTTGAAAATTGTTTGTCACTCTTATTCTGTTGTGAGTATGTTGTTCTATGAAATGTTTTTCCCACATGGCAAAAAATAGTCGGTCTCAAAAGAAGTACTCACCGCAGTCGGTCTCAGACTAAATGAGGTAAACAAACAATTACAAAACAGGCGAAATTGACAGATAGGCCACAAGATTCTGTCTCATTTCTTATCCTCTCGTTAGCGAGAATTTGGTTCCATTTGCCATGACAATGACTAAAATTTTCAGGCCCAGTCCCGAAAAATTAAAAGCTCGGTTACATATCTGAAATTTTTTCGCGCCTGCGGCGCACGATTCCCTTATAACATTCTACTATTCCTCTATTTTCTTATACTGTCTCAGCACTATCATATTCACGGTTAAAGTGAACTGCCCAGTTATACTGGTGTGTGGTTCGTTAGACGTCAGACTATACAAATGTTATGTCAACTCTTGCAAAACAGGTGGAATTGACGGGGGCAGATCTCGAGATTCTGTCCCATTGGCTCACATTTCTGGTCCTCTCGTCCATAAGACTTTCTCCCAGCAATGACCTCAAATGCTAGGATATTGACTCAATTTTTCAAAATTTTCTCAGGTTGCTCAGTGTTATAGGCACAATCGTCATATATGACAAACTCTATGTCAACTTAAATAAAACTACTTTCCGGCGAGACAACGATCGGTGAACAACTATATAATTATACAATACTGTCTATGTTGTACTGGGACGCTTAATGTTATAGCAAGTATTTTGTTGACATTCATTGTGGGGTGTGATTGTGGATGGTGCCCTTGATTTGGAACCCCACCCTCTATTCCCAGCTTCTAGATCCCCTCTGCACATGGCCCCTAGAAAACTCGCACCTGTGGTGCGCGGCTCCTGACTGCGTCACTCGTACTGGGGGTATGTGCATCAGTCCGTCGCATTTTGGCTAAACACCCCCCCCCCACACACACACACACACAAAATCGTTATGTACGCCGCTGTATAAGAGACATTTTGCGGCGCTACGACCCACTCTGTTTTCGAATTCGAAATGTCAATAATTCTTTTTACATGCACGCCAGCGTTTACACGAGAACTCGGTTGTTCATCCCACCCGATTAGAACCCTGTCCTTATCATTGCCTCCGTCCTGCACCACTGACAAGGGAAACCAGCTGGAAAATACGTGATAACTTTCTCGGTCAACAACGGGATCGCAACCCCAGGCTTAAGTTAAGAATTTACCCAACTTTCAATCACTGTTTATGAGAAATATCTTTGATCCAGAAACACAAAACTATGCACATAGTTTCTTATTGATGTATTTGTTAGATTAAAACAACAATTAAGTTTCATAAAGGGCTATATTTTAGTTAAATTAAGGCAAACAATTTTGAGTAAATTGTTAACTTAAGTCAGAGAATGTTTTGTGAACCCGGGGCCTGGACTTCCTGGTAAATGAAGAGAATTAAGGGGTGAGGCTACACGAAAAATGATTTCTGAAATTATAAAGCTGTTGAACTGAAATGGTACAGGAAGTTAGGAAATGTAATAAACAAGGGAAAACTAACATTAAAAATAAAGAAAAGAAAGTTGTTGCCAGGGTAACACATGTTTTTTTTAAAAAGTATGAAAAATGTAGATCCACCATATCTCTGGCACTAGACAGAGAGTTTTTCTCTATAATTTTTATAGTTTCTTGGAAAATGGTGTTTAAAAAATTTGCCTCGCCGCAATATTTTGTCTTTGGAGAAATATTTGATAACTTTTGAAATATTAATGATAATTCCAATTGCTTTCTGTCTGATTCTGTGGTATATATTCGTTTGTTATCCTGCACATTTGGCGAAGATATATTAATTAGTTACAAAGGTATAGTGTACCTACGTTTTTCATAATTTTTTTAAAGTTACTTTTCCCTTTTTTATAAAAATTCCTAATTACTTGTACAATTTTGAATTCAGAAGCTTTAAAATTTCTGAATAATTTTTTTCGGATAGCCTCCCCTCTTAAAATGAAATAGATGCAGCGACTGTAATGTGGCG